ACAAGAAAAAGTTCGTATAGAATTAGAAAATAAACAACGTTATTTATATAATTGTCAACAAACACAATTAATTGCTAATCAAGAATTATCTCAAAAATTCCAACAAATTCAACAAAAATTTCAAACATTAAATCAACAATATCAACAAGTAAACAAACTAGACCTTATATTCTTCTTGTTCTTTCGTTTAACTTTTTCTTTTCATGAATGAAATCACTAAATTAGACTTTGGCCATTTCTAATCTTATTTAAACACGAAAATCAAAAATTCCTAAGAAAAAATCATATCAACTTAAAATACTTAAACAATAGATTATATGTTATGATTTTTAATTATTAAAAGTTTGTTTTTTATGGAAATAAGTATCATATTTAATATCAGCATCTAAAGAAAAATATGAAAAGACTCATTTTGCATAGTAAATTATATTCTAACAAAATTTAATCTGTAGAAAAGTACTCAAAGATATATTTTAGAAATAAAACCTAACAATAATTGAGAGAACATTTTTTTACCAAAAAATAGTTTATAATAAATTAGACAGTTTTTCATAAGTATCAACTTTTGAGAAATCAACTCTCAAAATACTGATCAATTTGTTTTACTATTTTATATGAAAATGATTCTTTCCTTAAACTATATATTAAACAAAACAAAAAAATATAAGCAGAAAAATCGAGATTCTATTTTCTTTTGATTTATTTTATTTTAAAAATCTTTTTTTTTTAAAACAACAGGAATATGCTCGTCGAAAACAACTTTCATCGAATGTTGATGATCATTTATCTATAATTGAACAAAATACACCTGTTGTATCTGATGCAGAAATATTAATGCATCAACAATTAGAAAGATATCAAATTCAGATAAATTCTCTTCAAGAAAAAATCATTCTTCTGAAACAATTCATTACCAGAGAGGAATCTTTTCATGAAAATCAACAACGAATCGATCAATTATCAATGGAAAACATTAACACATTCGTTCAATATTATAAAAAACAAATCAATCAGATGAAACAACAATTACAAACTATTGATCATGATAACTAAATATCATTTTTCGTTTCTGTTTGTTTAATAAACAATCGTTTAACTATATGCAAATAGTTTATACAAGAAAATGTTATAAATCTAGATCATTAAAACAGAAAATAAATTATTTTCTAATAGAAATATAATTTCTAACCAATTGAAATTTTACTCAAACACTTTGATCAACTAATTGATTCGTTGGAAAAGGTAATTAAATACGGCATTCATTCAAACAATACATTCCAGATCGATTAAAAATATACATTGAGTCATTTCAGCTTTATTAGTATATGTTTCTGTTGAAAATTTAATAGAATTTGTTACAGCTAAATTATATCATGCAGAACAAATTTGATATCAAATGGATTCATTGTCTGACAAGTTCATCAATATCTTCACAAGTCGCATCGATGAGCATTATTTAATGCTCCACAATATCGATTACACATGATATTGTACCTGCTTCACTATATGAACCTATTAAACATTTAATTGAGGAAACTCTTAGATTGCTACATCGACTTCTCATCAAACAAGTATAACAAGCAATCTTGTGATGAATGTCTGGATGATTGTCTTCAGCAAAGGTAGAACAATTACTAGTTACTATATTGTTCAGATTGTTTTTCGCTAGTGTCTCTAAACTGACATAAATTACGTAGAACATTTTTCTAGATACTGTTCTTCATTATATCGAAAAATAACGATTGATAACATAAGTACTATTTTTTATATTCATATCTCCATCATTGGTTTTTCTTCAATGTTATTGTAAGTTAAAAAGTGATTGTAAAACAATGACAAATGTTGTCATTCCTCAGTAAAAAAATATGATATGTCATTTCGCCACAAACTAACAATATTCGATGACATTATCATGAAAAGAACAGCAACAATGGATAAAAATGATTATTTTTATGACTTAAATATTTCAACATAAGCCAAAAAAAACAATAACAGAACATCATGAGATAAGAAAATAAACTGTCATAAAACAGATGTCAAACCACAATCTTTATTCAAATCGTAACAATAAAAGAAAAGAAAAAACTGATATACAGATGTGTGCAAAAAAACTTGGAAATTTTGTTATACCAGTATTTCCCTATATATCTGTCATCTTCAAATTGTTTCATATATTGATTGATAGCCTACGACGAGTACGATCTAACACCATATCTCAATATTTTATTCGTTCACCTTTAGAAGAAATAAAAGATAAACATATTTTTTTCATGAGTATCACACAATTTTCTGACAACATTAATTTCAATATTTTTGAATTCTTCAGCTAAATAAAAACCTCGAATTCATCAGTATTTTTGGGTTCTCTCTTTTTCAATTTTGTGTTTTACGATCGTCCAAATTTTAGGTATACGTTTAAATTCATCATTTTGATGTTTCGACAAATGATGAACAGTGTTACGAAAAAGTTGTATATGTCTAAATCATCATTTTTATACTGTTTAGCTAATTGTACACGTCGGCTTTTTTTCTTCGGGTTTTAGCATATGAGTACTTCTTGGTAAAACATTCCTATAGCCATATTCATGAAGATGACGACATATTGCTGATGTAGATACTGATGAAATGATATGTTCTCGTTAAAATTTCTTTTATGTCATTAAGAGTTATCTCATTGTTTTGTCGCAAATATATTGACCAATAGCTTTTTTCTTTTCCACTCAGTACACGTGATTGATCATTTTCGTCTCGATGTTTAAGTGAATTTGTTTGTTTTAATTTGTCGACACTGTAATAGATAGTGTTCAGTGGAATATTTGTTTCACGATGAACAACATCAACAGATCGTATACCTTTTATTCCAAAAATGAGATATGATGATTTTTTAACTGACTAGATGGTGTCATGATTTGATATATATGTATTTAAAAGAAAAGAAATCACACTTCTGTATGATAAGTATGTAGTATAACTATCGATAATTCATCCCTAGAAATATTAGCTTTGTGATTGCTTTCAATGGCAAATAAGCTATTAGAAAAAAAACTTTTTCTAAGTTTTTTTTGCAAACATCTGTATTCCATACAATCATGCAAAATTTTTTGAAGGAAAATCTTTTATTGTTTAGACTTCAGTTTTTCGTAAAAAGAAATATGAGGAACACTCTTCGATAACTGCAAGTTCTCGAATCTCAGGTAGTGAAATACTTTCAAATGCAAAAAAGAATGAATGGCTGAAAAGCTGGCTTCATCCACAATGAAACACTTACCATTCTCTAAAACTGTTTTCGATTGAATAAAAAGCTTTTTATTAAAATAATTTTATTCTCTACTACCATTGAAATAAATAATAATGTCGCAAGTCTCTACAGACATGAATGATCTGGTGGAAGCTTTGCAGAATAGTTCTTCTTTGCCGTTGGTGAATAGATCGGCTATTGCATAGTTATTTTTGTTTTGCTAATACTAATAACGACATCTTGTTGTTTACTTCTTTCCATATTTTTTTAAATATACATGTTTATCACATGAATAATTGAGATGATAGATAAGTTTCTATATAAATTTCATCAACTTCTTACACCAATCATCGATAAAATGGCTTCATTTACAGCAATCGTATTGTTTATTAAATCAAATTATATCTGTGAATAAAAGCTTATATTTTATGCATTCACATACATTTATTTAATCAATTAATTCATCAAATAATGTTTTTTTATTAATGTTTTCTATCTGATGTAATTATCGAACCGTTGGGAATCTTGCTAATTAATTACGAAGGATTTGGTTGTTTTTAATAGCATATACTCGTTTTCGAACTTTCATAAGCAGAGTATTTTCTGAAGCGTTATTTTATGTTCAAGATTCATCAAAATTCATACACTTATCTTGATCCTCAAAACATCAGAATCATTTTCTTTGCATACTGATCTGCTTATTTTTTGTTATTCTTCAGCGCTTTCTTGAGTGAATTATGTACAGCACTGTTTCTCCGCTTTACTTTTGGCATGTTTAAACTTTCTTTATCTAATGTTTTTGATACATTTTGATTACACCTCTGAAAGGTTAGTTTTAGAATTGACGACATCGTAATAATTGTAGGAAAAACACTAAAAATAATGTGAGAAGTTCATTTTCGCAAAAGAATAAATGAAATTACCTTCAAGAATAGTAACTTTGTATTTCTGTCTATCAATTGTCTTTTTCTATAATTTTCTTTCCTTTGGAGGTGTTTTATGTAACGTTTTGTGTACACCATGGTGGGTAAAACAGTAAATATTGCTGATGATGAATAGTAATCTCTTAGTATCATCATATACTTTATGTGTCTGTTAATATGAGTTTAAAAAATTCAAAAAAAAAGCAGCCACGAGTGCACCAAGTTATATTTATCGTTCTCATATTGTAGATGTTATTTAGAAGAGTGAAAAACCCATTTTCGTATGCGCATAACTGATGAAAGAAAAGAAAATGAACGACAGTATGGTAACGTCATGATTGAACTACATATATATAGATATAATTTCAGTGGTTATATGTGACTCGATGCAGGTCACAAGAACTAATACGTATAAAAATAAAATATGCGAAGTAACTTGTGGTGAATCATTGGGACTCAGCAAGACTTGGAAAGTTTTCAAACATGTTCGTTGGAAAAAAAATTGAAATCTACTTAGTTTGATATAGAAAAAGAATAAATGTAAGGATTTTTCTCGCATAAAGAATATCTAATAGAATAGCAGAACAACAAAAGTGATTCGTGTAGTTGACTCAGTGACTACTACTTTTCTGAGTCTTAATTAAAAGATTTTGTACTACTTGTACGTTATATAAGGGAAAAATTTTTCTTAGAATTTCCCTTAAGATCATTAATTGTTCGAGATATAGAACGCCAAATTTTTCTTATTTTTACAAAAATTTTTATTTCTTCCTAATGTAAAATGCAATCATTTTTGTATTAATAGGCATTTCAAGAACAAAATAGCAAAGAAAAATAGTTTATTCATAAAGTTGTTGAAGCCATTTTCTTCGTCTCAGTCCTTCTAACTGATCCATATTTTCTTTGACTTCTGGATGATTTGATGGTACAGATTTAAGTAATTGTTGAACAGATTTTTCAGCACAATCAATTGCATCGTCTAATCGATTCAATTTTGCATAAGCTGTTGATAAATTAAAATAGGAAACGGATATTTTATGATCATTTTCTGGAAGATATTTAAGTTCTAATTGAAGTGCTTGTTGATAGAACGGAAGTGCTTCAGCAGGTTTATCCATTCTCCAATATACAGATGCAATTCGATCATAAACCATTGCAATTGATTGTGATTCTGCATTTGGTATTGATTGTTGAAGAATTTGAAGGGAACGTTTATAATGTAATAATGCTTGATCATATTTTCCTTGATCAAGATAAACAGCTCCAATATTTCCTGAATATGTTGCTATAGCTTCAATATCAGGCGATGAAGATTTTAATTGACATTGAAGAGCTTTTTGATGATAGATAATTGCTTGTTCATGTTGATCTTCTTGATAAAACATACTTCCTATATTATTATATGTTGCTGAAAGTATTTGATTATCTTCTGGAATAAAAGTTAAGAATATTTTTAATGATTGTTCGAATTGGAGACGAGCAGCTCGATAATTATTTTGTCGATTATCAACAGAACCAAGTAAATGATGAACAGCAGCCAATGAAGCTAATAATGTTAGATTATCTTTTAATGAACCATCATTAAATAATAAACGTGCTAAATAATCAACATGAGAATAGTCATTATTTGATAATAAAAGTTTTCCTAATTGAATTAATACAACAGGACTTTCAATTTCTTCTCGTATTTCTTTTGTTAATTCTTTCAATTGCTCATTATCTGTACTAATATATGCTAGATTAATAGTCCACCAATGATGATAATCATTATTATTCTCTTCGATTGATTCAATGCGATAGACATTATCAAAAGGAAGTAAGACTTCTGTTTTTGAATCAAAATAACGAAGTTGTTCAATCTCGATACCAACTGTTGTTTTAATTCGAAATAAAATTGTTTCCATTTCATCAATATTTTCAATTAAATAAGGTTCATTGAGTGTACAATCAAGAAAAGTACCAAATGAAAGTAAATCATTTGCGTTATGTTCTTTGAATTTTCTAAATTGATCAGAAGAGTAATGATGAATTCGATAAACAGTTGCTGAAAAATAATTTTCTTTAATTTGATTGTTAAGAGCCTGTATAAACCATCTCATTTTATATAAAATATCAATTTCTTCTGTACGTAATGCACGATTAAGCATTTTCCGAATAAAACATTTTCTTGTATACCACCAGATTGATTTTTCTATGGTGAAATTTCGTTCAAATTCATCAATTAAAGTTAATTCATTATGATTATTATTATAATGAAATCGAGAAAAATCGATAAAATCTTTTTTTAAATTACTATCATTATCTTTTTTGAGAAGAGTTTCTTTTAATAATTGTGAATAACAAAATGATTGATTTGCAGTTTCATTTGTTGATGCAAATTGAATTGAAAAAAATTGATTTTCGATCAAACATTCTTCTTTTATTTTTTCGGAGATTGATTCAAGATTTGGAAAATTTCCACGAATATTAAAATGATCATTTGTCCGTGTGACATTATTTGAGAGAATATATATTGAATTAAATCGAGATAAATCTTCAAAAAATTCTGTTAATGAATCACTAACAATTAATATAATTCTTTCAAATTTTAGAGTATCAATAAAAGAATTTAATTCTTCAATATTATTAAACATTTTAACGAAATTCACAATCGAACGATTAAAGTTTGATTCATCGTTAGTACCAAAAAGAATAACAACAAAATCTTCTACATTTCCTTCATATCGTGGTGGTAAAAGTTTACGTTGTTCCATTCTACGAAGACCTTTAATACATACAAATCAAATAAATTTTGATTTTAATGAAGAACGAACCACTTTGAAGAATAGATAATAATGATTGCAAAAAATTTCCATTATTATCATTATCACTTGTTGTTTGTTCTGTTAATTTTTCGTGAAATAGACTTACAATATTATTTTTATTTTCTACTTCTGATGAATCTGAAATATAAAACAAAAAGAAAAGAATAAGGAAAATTGCAAAGAAAATTGAAATTACCATTCGTTTTTTTGGTATCATGTTCTGGTTGAATATTTTCTTGTTGAGATGATGAACTTTCTTTTTTTTCTATTAATGATGACGATGAAATCATCTTAGTTTTCCTTGTTGAATTTTCTAGAAATTATTCTTAGCAAAAAAAAAACAGAATTCAACAGTTTATTGATATACCATGATGATTTTCATTGTGATCAATTGACTAAAATTTCGAATAAAATTTTCATGAATTTCAATTGTAGAAATAAAAACTTACTTTGATTGACTTTATATGCACATTGTTTGATTGAATATGATTATTTTCACTTTTTTCTTGTTTTTGTTTATCATCATTCCTTGTTCTTTCTTCCGATGTTCTTCTTTGTCTACTTTTTAAAGATCGATGATCAGACAAAACTTGTTTTGTTTGAAATGAATTCAATTGAATGTTCTTAGAATACAAAATTCTTTAAAAATAAACAAAAAACGATGGTGAATTTTTCGAACCTCTTGATTCACTTTTTGTTCGCGTCGTCGGCATCTAATTTATTTTAAATATGAGATTATGAAATATAAAAAAAAAATTATTTAATCACTTTTGGCATGGAATTGATTTTGCTACATGTTCAATAATAAATGATTGACCAAGACAAAATCCTCCTTGACGATATTTATATTCACAACAGGTCAATAGATGAACTTCAACATGTTCATTGATATAACATTTTATATCGAAAGGAGATTGAGCAAGACGTTGAGATTTAAATGAGAATGTATCTTATAAAAATAGAACTAATAATCAAAGACGACACTTTAAAATAAAGGCTAATTTACCATCATTTTTCAAATAACCTTTATAAACAATGAGTCTTTGATCATCAGTATTTTGTTTTTGTTTTATTACAATTTGATCATTTTCAGATGATGATAATGAATCATTTCTATAAATCATCATTACTTCACATGCTTGATAGACATCACTCGCAGGATGATAGAATTGATTTCTCTAAATTTTATACCAAAAAGAGAGTCAAACAAATTTTTCATTAGATGCTATAAAACAAAAATCTGTAGATTACGATAAAATATATCTAATCGAGATCTTTTTCTACGCTATGAAGAATAGAATTTGATCAAATAAATAGGATTTTTCCTATAAAATCTTACTCGTGAAGACATTAAATTTCGATCAGGATATATTCGAGCACTTCGTGAACGATGAAATTTCGAATTGACTATCTATATTCATTATTAATAATTAACATAAAACATATAATAAAGAACAACATACTTCGTCTTCAGATGATGTGTCACGATATCGAGACATCAGATTTTTAGACGATTTTCGAGATCGTTCAATGTTAAATTTCCTAAAGAGGTGACAATCGTTTAATAAAAAAGTTCATTTGGATTTTTACCTTGCTGCATTTTTTTCATTGATAGAATCTCTTTCTAATCTTCGATATTTATAATTTGAATAAGGAAGTAAAATTTCATCATGATTCACCTTATTACATAGATAAATAAACATATCATTTTATTATCTCAAAAGTGTAAACTTTAAAAAAAATATTTTATTTACATACTAAACCAGTTTGTCGCAAATAATCTTTATGAAGCAATGCTCGTAATCGTAAATCGATGGAATCATCGGATGTGCTGTATTGTATATATATATATGTATATTATTATATTGAATAAAAAAAAGGAGAAATACCACAGACCTTGAAGATATTGAGGGTGAATGTCGAAAAGACATAGTCGTATCGTAAAATAGTAAAGAAAAAAAATGTCGTTTGGTAAAAAAACACCGTGTATGTGTATGTGTGTTGATGTTGAATGAAGTAAAGAACGAGAAGAAAAAAACAAGCATGCACACATTTGTTATTTTTTTGTGTGGGCACCAATTTAAGATTCTAAAGAATGAATAATAACAACACAAATTGGTTGATTAGATTTTACTACATAAAACAATAAGAAAAAAAAACCGAAGGTTTTCAATAAGAATTAAAATATAAACTTCTTTTCTCAATAAAGAATGATAGTAGAAGAAATAAAATATGTAAATTATGATATGTGAAATAGTTTCTCATTCGTAACGAATATTATCATTTAGATTTTATTTTGACTACCAAAATATTGTTGATAGAATAAATATCATTGCAAGGTCTTGATCAATATAGCAGCGAAGAAAAACACTAATTATTTAATTTATTATAAAAATGTTTCGATGGATCGATTACCATTATTGATTATATATTTCACAAAAGTCATTCAATATTTATTCTTGTTAGTTTTCGAAAGTGAGAATTAAAATAAATAAGGAAAAAAATATTTTTGGTATTCCATCAACTAGTATTCTCATTGTCAGAGCTAATAATAAAATATTTATAATGGATCCAATGAAGTATATACTTTATAATAACGATAGAATCTCTCTCTTTATTATCACGTATGCTGGACGTTCTCTCTATTTTTTCTGCATATAGATTATGCTTTTCGTGCTTGATTAGTTGATCAAATATATCACGCTTTTTCTTATTGCCCATTATTATATTTTATTTCATATTATATTTGAATGCAATCAGCCGATTTTTCTTTATTTTTTCTTGTAATAGGACGCATATAAAAAGTATTTGCGCATTAAATATAATAAATAAATTTACATTTCAATGATTATACGAATTGTGTCAGTTAATCGATTGAGTTCCACTATCGACGTAAGTTAAATAACTAAAGAAATATTTTAATTGTCGTTAATGCAACAATAAGTAGCGCATAGGTATCCATTATTCATGAGAATAACAAAACCTTTTTTTTTCAGCAACTGATCACTGTAACAATAAATGACCTTGACACGTGACATTTCTTCTCAAATCTTCTCTATATCCAAATCCTTTCTTCTGTTATATCACTGCTAGATAAGCGTATGCACGTAGTGAAATACACGTGGTTATTGTAATGATGCAACTAAATAGACATCATGATTAAGAATAGCAATAA